GAGGAATCTAGAATGCACATTTTAGGAGAAGCCAATGCCCGATTAGCTTAGGTGGAGCTGAGAAGGTGATGCAAGTGCTGGGAATGGCTATGAATACAGATTAACATGAGCAGAGAGTCCTGACTGCACAGAGACCAGGATAAGTCAACTGCTTGCTGACTCATCTTAAAACCCTGTCAGTGAGTGGCAGGCCACAAGGACCATGCAACTGCCTGCACACCAAAACGTGACTAAGGAGGAGACTGGACATAAGCAACACACTTCAGGGGTCATTCCCTCCCATCACTCCCATCTACTTGGAAGAAAACAAATTCAGGGCTCCACTGAGTCTACATTATGATGACTTACCTAATTATCTTACTATGTATTACAATGTGGTAACAATAGGAATAAAGTACACAATAAATGTAAAGTGTTTCAATCGTCCCCAAGTCAGTCCCCACCTCTGGTCCACAAAAAAACTGCCTTCTGTGCAACCAGTCCTAAAAGGTTGTCACGAACTTACACACACGAGGAATCCAGGACGCACATTTTAGGAGAAGCCAATGCCCGATTAGCTTATGTGGAGCTGAGGAGGTGATGCAAGTGCTGGGAATGGCTGTGAATACAGATTAACTGAATACAGATTACCTTTTAAGCCTAAAAGGTTGGAGACTGCAGTGATTAGATTTGCATAGTTAAGAACCTAGGAGCAATTCAAACGCCTCAGTGTTTAAGCTGGTATTCGGTTTAAGTTTGCTGACCATTCGAGTTAACACTAAATTAAAGCACTCCCCACTCCCCTGTGCTGGGGCTTGAGACTCACTCACACTGGCCAAGGGCTTACCACTGAGGCATACTCTCCATTAGGGCATGAGGGGCTTCGGTCCACGAGAACACAAAAACTATACTCTCACTGCTGAAGAGATGAAAAAATTAGATTTTCAGAATAGCTGTAGTTCTGCTTACAGCTTTAACAGATTATAAATGACAATTTTTCATACTGCTATGATCTATTTTCAATTCTTTACAAAGCTGCAGCAAACCTCATGGAAGGGACGAGAAGAAATTATCCTATTCAC